GGACGAAGGCACTGCTTTGTCCGCAATTTCTGTTTCATCTTTTTAAAGACTTGAAATGCAATATTAAAATGTTATATGTGAAAAAAGAACAAGATATTTCACGTTTTTTCAAAAATTTCCATGTTTAATTTTTACGACTATTTTCTTGTCTAATTTAAAATCGTTTTATTCTCAACTAAATTATATCGAGAAAAAATATTTAAAAAATAATTCTTAAATTACAATTTATAATATATCAAATTAGATATCGATTAGGAGTTAAGATGATTGAATAATAGAATGTTGTATGGTACATATATTTAAATATATATACAAGCAAATTTTATTTTATCAGGAATTCTTTTTTATTTCAAAATTTATTCAAAATATTCATCACTTTTTTATCAGTTAATCTTATTTCCTAATCTAATTGATCATTTATTCTAGTTATTATTCAATTGCGTATTGGTACTATACTTTTTATTCCGCTTTCGCGTTGTGTCTTATTTTTACGTTTGATTGTGTTTCGCTCCTAATCGGGCAAGCACTCTCGGCGAAATCCGTCTTCTATTCACATGAGCAAGACGAAGGCGGATTACACGCCACGTAAGGCGAATCGTCGATACTTAATCATCGTTTACGGCCATTGAATCGGACAACGGAAGAGCAAAATTACGCGGTGTATCGAAGACATAATCTTGCGCAAACAGCGCCAAACTTGGATCTCGTTGATTTTCTCGAGGAGTAATCGAATCAAATTAAAGACCGCGCCTGCGAATAGAGCAAAGTCGCGACCGCGGAATATTATTTCTCACGTTCCTATTTCTCGAATTACGCGTGCAATTCGTAACTCCGCGATTTTATCTAACAATGCATTGTGTTCATCTGTCATAGATTTAGTCATGTGAGTTTATCATCTGGCGGTGATCTTTCTTCTGTATAGATCTCTCCCTCTTTAACTTTTTTGAAATTAAAGATTTAATTTCTTTTGAAACAATTATATTTGAATGAAAAAAATAAAATTATTATGAGAAAAAAATAATAATATAATTTTCAGGAAAAAGAAAAGAAATCGAATAATATGACTGCAGGATTGTGAAACATATCCTACGGTCTTGACGACGTATAAGATTACCGGGCGGATATAATCTTAAATCGTTAAAATTAATTATCGTGTGCAAAGAGAGAGAAAAACAAAGAAAAAGAGAAAGAGAAGAGAGAGAAATCGGACACCGTGGAGAAGACCAGGTAATACATATTTTGAAACACACAACGTTTGTATTTTCATATACCCCACGCGTCTCGCCGAAGAAGTCGCTTTCATATTTTAACAAACAATATCTGCGATACAGAATAAGTGATTCAAATTTTTTGTCTTTTGAAAAATTGCTTTATTGAATACGCGTGGTCTTTCAAAGGAGAATCTTGTGAAGAGAATATGCGACATACACTTTTCATACACATGTATTGTAAAAAATATTAGCAGAATTGAGAGACAGAAGACACTTGATACAATAGAGAGATGAGTAACAATGAAGGAAGAATACGCATATTGACAGATTTTATATTGATAATAAGAAGCGTGGAGTGAATGGTCTGTCGTGACTATATATTTTCGTAAATAATTAATTTTTTATATTATAAGAGTGAATCAACAAGCTGTCACTGACAAGAAATGCGTTTTGTTTCAGGTATTCGTGAAAGATGTCATTGAGGATATTTCGCAAGATCGAGAAACTATTTTAACAACTCGATTGGAATCGTCCGCCGATTATCGCGGAGAGATTGCACTTTCATCGTGAACTCTACTCACGTTGGAATTATGCTTATGCATCGAGCGGCTCGGTCAATCGCTGCCTTTCCCACAAACTGGAAACGGATGAGTCTAGTAGTTAGAAAAAAGAATTTCGAGAGAAGCTCGATCTTTCAAATATTCCCTTTTGAACAGCGAAGTCGATTTCGCCGAAGGAAAACGGTCGCACGTACATTATTGCAGGAGTTCTTTTTGTCCCGATAAAGAATTTGTACTCGAAGCAACGCCGTAAATTTCAGTATCGCCGGCGTGTTCGTGCGGGAGTGTCCCACCACGAAAGCCCCAGCGCTATAGAAGTCATTCGGCGGAATTTACGTTAAACGCTGTCGACGGTAAGAAAGGCTACGGGGAATGCTTATTTTTGCACATATGCTAATATAGTGGCTACCGCGCGATATCCGCGGAACATATAATCGTTGAAGAACGCTGGTGTAAATGGAAGATACAACACGGATTTTACGGTCGTACTCTCACGCGCTCTCGCAACGAATAATAAAAATTCCTGACGGAATCATGGAGGAGTAGTTTGAAAATCCGGGTGGAGGTCCGAGTAGCCTCAATAAACCGTTACGTTTCTGAATTTAGTAACGCGGATTGCTTTCCGCGTCACGCACAGCCCGGCGATTAATGAGCGAGGAGCGTGTGCGGACGTGGAGAGTCGCGTGTCGCAATTTTTCTCTATACAGTCGAAGCGATGCATCCGGGTCAGAGTATCGCGCTCGCCGAGCCGCAATTACATTCCGCAACAATATTGCGCCGACCGATCATTATCCGGCAAAGAGCCCGGCACCGCGAGCGAATTGATTTCGCGTTCGGGAGGAAAGGAAAGGAAAGGAAAGAAATCAATGTTTGGATACGATCGCGCGAAATTTATCGCCCCGACACGTAAAAATCTTGGCGGTTGAATCCACACCGGAGATTCCCACGTATGGTACATACATCGAGACGGGCTGAACCGGCGCAAGGGTCGGGGAGATAAAGGGGAGGGAGGGGGAAGCGAGTAAGGATCCGACCCTTTGCTGCAACGATGTCCTTCCTTTTCGAGGAACAAGAGAGTCGCGTCGGGAGGAAAAAAAAAATTTACATTTCTTAACGCGCGCTTCTTAATGTGCCTTCTCTCCATAGTGACGCGAGAACCACGTCGAAAATTCATTCACCCCGAGAAGGTATCTTGCCGGGATTCCCCATCGAGAGATTCATCTCGAGGTATCGACGCGACTCGAAAGAGCTTGAGAGAACGAACGCCGAAGCCGCCGACGGGATCGTGACGTCGGTTGATCTTCGTCGAAAGATCCTCACGAGAGTTGTGTCTATCTAAGTACATACGAGGTCGAGCCTTCACCTCGATCACCCAGTATATACATATGAGACTCGCAACTGAGCGAAAGCGAGACGGGGGGTGCGAGATGGAAAGAGGACGTGCGGGGAGAGGAAAGGGAAGCCGGGACACGTGAGCTGTGTAAGAGCGAGCGCGTGAACCTGGGGAAAGATTCCAAGTGAAGAGCGAGAGCGCGACGAGAGAAGAAAGGAGAGGAGGGAAACGAGGGAGAGAGCGAAGGCGCGAGAGATCGGTAAGAGGGGTCATTGGTTGTTCGTTGCGCGCTCAACGTATGGGAATCGTTATGGACCGACTATAGCCGTTGGAATGCGTCCTTTTTTTCCTTTTTGTGTCTCCCCCATATACCTGGCGAACCGCTATCGCTCCGTTGCGGCGGCGGTGGTGGCGAGCCTCTTGCGGGCAATCCGGTCGGCCAGCGACCGACTGGGATGAGAAAGAGCGTGTTCTCCGAGTCGGAGGAGGATCGAATTTGACTCGAAGAAAGAGGGAGAGAGAGAGAGATGGGACGAACAGTGCAAGCAAACGAGGAAGAGAGAACCGCGGAGGAAGGATGGACGACATGCTTGGAAGGAGAGACAGATCTACCGCCGCGCGGAGAGGAGAAAGGAGCATGAGGAGAGAGATTGGGTTAACGGGGAGATGAGGGTGTAAGTCCGAGAGCACCAGGACGAAGAGGGACAGCCGGCAGAAGGAGAAATAATGGGACTGCGAGATGAAAAAAAAGAGATCGGAAGGAAAGTCGACGACGAACGTCGTCGGACAAGCGAAATATCGAGAAGAGAAGAATCGGCGGACGATGTAAAAAGATTGTGAAAGTTCGAAGCGAGAGAGAAAAAGGTGCGTGACGAGAAGGATGACCGGTACGCAAGAGAAGAACTGATGGGAGAGAGAAGATCAAGAAGAGAAAGATGCTATTGACGATTCGAGGAGTCGGAGTAGGAGAAGATTGGAGAACATATATTAAGAATGATGTAATTTTTCGAGAAGAAACTCTATGTATAAAACAATACTTTTTTTCATGCAGTCACCATCTTCTACTGGCTGTATCACAATAAAACAACATCGAAAACATCAAAAAACGATCGCATCGTCATCAAGATACGCCGAGCGGACGAACGCTAAGGTAAAGGTAAACATTTGCGGGAGTAAACCGCAGAAGTACCGTGTTCAAAACGTCAAGGGACCATGTACGGCGGAGGCGAACGGTGTTCGAAGACACCGCAAAGAACAAGCTTGGGAAGAAGAAGAGGGCTAGAGCAACAGCGCGCACCCGACGGATTGTCAGCATCTTCCGACAGTGTATCGACATTCGCTACGGATGAACCTGCCAGTGATTGCGACCAATTAAAAAAAAAAAAAAAAAAATGGACCGATTACCGCCGAGAGGAGCGACGCAAGAATAAAGCGAAGGACACCGAAGAGCGGGACCGGGAAACCACGCGTGAGCGAAAAACCGGTATAAGTGGGAAAGAGAGAGAGAAAGAAAGATCCCCCGACGCTTCGCCGCGGTAGAATGGATCTACCGGGTGGTGGAAGGAGACGCACGCCGATGAGAGATCCAAGGCAGATTCGAATGGAACCGAGGCGAACGGACCGACGAACGAACGACCGGTAGAAGACGAAGGACAGGTATGAGACGTAGTCCGCGAAAAGCGACGAGGAGAGGGAGAGGGCAGCTTCGGGTCCTCTCTCTTTCTTTCTCTCTCTCTCTCTCTCTTTCTTTCTCTCTCATTGTTCTCAGTACGACGGTTTGGCTCGCTGACGTCACGACGACGATTTGAACAGGCCAATCGGCGCTCGCAGGCATCTCATCCGTCGGTTACTCGCTGGTTGGATCGCAGAGCAACCAGGTAGAGAAAACAGGATGATGGTAGGAGGGAGGTAGAGGAAAAGGTAGTGGGGCCGCGGGACCGGTGCGTACGGCCCAGACCTATTCAGTTGATCAGTGAGTGCGGTAGTTGTCTCATCTCGTACCGCGCCAGGTGTAACTTTCCTCTCTTTCTCTCTCGGTCTCTGTGTGTCCTTGATACGACGGAGACAGTGATGGAGTTAAATCTCACGGAACGTGCTCCGATCCGGAGCCAAAGCCGCAGGTATGGTTTCTCTCTTTGCTCAGGTATGTAGTTCTCTCCGACTACACGGTATAGTTAGACGTGCTAATGCGCAGTTTGAAGAACGTCATACATCCATCTCTCGGGAGGAATATTCCGAAAATCATCGATCCTGTTCTAATTAAAGTTCGCGCAAATCGATTAAGGATATAGTGAGATACGAGAAATCTTCGAAAATTCTCTTTCTGTATTTGGAAAAATATTTCGAATGTCCGGAGAATTACAAAGTAACTTTTCACAGTAAAATATTTCTAATCAATTCAATATACGCGATAAACTAACGTAATTGGCGAAGATAGTTTCGTTTCTGAAATTGTAAGAATATATCGGTTGCGGATGAGTAAACCGAAAAATGAATTAGGGATCTTTAGTTTTCCGAACGATTGTTCTTATTGTTGGCACTAAGTTACCTAAGAGAAAAAAAAAGAGAACCGCGTGAATTTTAATACTCCTCCGCTCACTTATACATGTCCAATAACGCTGTGCAAATGTGAGCGAAATAATAATGAAAACGTTAATAATAATAATAATAACATTAACAATTATAATAAAACACATCTAATATATCAACGAATTTTTCGTAGTAATTCCGTGTCAAGATAATCGTGGCAAATCTTATATCTACGATAAATATAAAAATCGATCGGATATAACGGATATGATAGTCATGATTTGGATTAGAAGATAACGAAAAAGAAGAGAAAAAAAATAGGGAGATTAGAAATAATTTCCAATTTATGATGTCGATTTCTTCAAGTGCAATTGTTATCTTAAATATATTTTATATAATTATATATATTACACATATCTCTAAAAGACTGTATTAACAATACATTTGTTCATGGATAAAAATTCTCAGATAAATTTTATTTCCTAGTATCGCAGAAGTAATTAGAAAAATAAATGCTTGAAAAGAAAAAGATTTTTTCCAGGATTAATAAAAGAGCAAAAAACAATAAAAAATTCATTCGTTTAACTCGCATTGATTTTACATTTTTTTTTTTTTACGAATTCTTTATATTGAGAGTATAATATAAAACCAGCATTTTTATAATCTTACTTTTCGTTAAAGTGATATAAATACGTACGGTTTTTACCCGCATCGTTTTATGGAAATTCGTGTTTCAGCGTTTACATCACTTTCGATATAACCGGCTTACCATATACCGGTCAGCACGAGATACATTAGTTGAAATAAGTAGTTTTGAGAGTATCGAAGCGCGGAGTACCTTGAGTTTATGCTTAATAGCGTCACTCTTACCAAGACCATTGCGTGTATTACATTCAAGATTTAGCATGCCGAAATAATTGATGTCGAATTGAAAACAGAGTTCTGACTATACAATGGTAAGAGCCAACCTATTTCAAATTATAACTGTAAGTTTAGTTGCTCAATTTTTTCAAACACATGTTTATGAAATGCTTTAAATATGCATCTAAATTTAAAACACACTTTTTGAATAAAAACGTTTATACATTTTTTTTAAATCTTAATCTTTCTCTTTTGCGACATTATTCGATATTTATTATAAATTATAAAATTTTTTACAGTTGAAATTCTTGGTAATGTTTTCAAGTAATATTTTTTCGTCTGATAATTAAAATACTGCAAAATCCGTACATTTTTAGATTAATATTCCTATTTCAAAGTTCGTTGAACAGTAATATAACGAACATAATCGAAGGGAAATATGATTAGAAATAAGGAAGCATAGGATGTACACGAAGATATAACGTTCGCGTATTTCCTCAAGATAGCGGAGAATTTCTTCAAGGCCGAATGTCAATGTGAGTACCGTCAGACACTTCGGTCGATTAATTATCTCGAATTAATTATTTCTGAATTTGAGTAGACCATCCGCGTGAAGGGTTTTCTATCAATACGAGCGACAAGGTCGAGGTAATCGTTTTGCATCGTGAATGATATAAGCAGGAACTACTACATTTCTAATCTTTTTTTTCTTTCTAATCTTTAAAGATATCCTATTTTAATCTTCATAAAAAATATATTGTATTATTGTAATTTTTTTATATATATTTTTAACATAAATTACAATATATTTCCATTTGCAAAAATAGAAATTGCGATGCAAAAATGCACAAATGTACAATTTAATATTTTTCGTATCAATGTTAATCGTCATTAACACTTAATACATCATTAATATTTAATACTGGATTAATTTATTACTTTCGCTTTTTTGACAATTTTTTATAGTTCTCAATTTTAAATTTGCAAACTTGTTTTCTTGCCGCTTTTTCTCTTTCCAAACCGATTGCTTATTTCGCATCCGCACTATCGGTGCGCGCATCTTTATTCTCGACGATTCGCACCGTTTCGCGTGCGAATTTCCGTGGGCCTCTTAGCAACAGGTCATGCACGCATCTGCCGTGGAAAAGCGGAGCCGCTGCTATGCAACTCGAATGTCTTCCTCCTTGTCGCTCGATGATCATGTATTACTTTCTTTCACTTCGTAATTCGCGATCGAACAGTTATTTCGCACAAGATCGCTTTTATATCGCTTAAATAAATTTTTCATATGGATGTGTAGGAAAGTTGCGCAACATTTCCTAAATTCTGAATTTACAAAGAAACAATCCGATAGAAAAATTTTTACGTCCGCGTATTATCTCTTAAAGTAAAATTCAAAATCTGACATAAAGAAAATTTGATCATTTTCAAAAATAGAATATAAGTTAATGCTTTTCGCTAAATTCGTATCGAAGATGAAATAAATATTTTGTCATATATATCGATACTAACTCAAGATTATTTTTGTTTTCAGTTGCTATTAATCAATATGTTTATTCAAACAACACGCGTCTTAAAAACATTTCGAAAACATCCTTTAGACACGCTTGTTGTCCGGGTTAATATTTTGATGAATCTGTATATAATGTATCTATTTCTCGAATATATAATTTCTCTTTTTTTAATATTTTTTAATATTTATAATTTATAGAACTCGTTCCTGACAAAATGGATATATAAAAGTTGTTCTTGATGTTAATGTATTTAGGTGAGCATTTAATTTTTCAAACAAATGTGGTCTTTTTCACGAATTCTTGACAAGCGATTTTAAATATCTTATGGAACCTTACATAATATCTAAAAATAAGTATAGCACGTTCGCGCGCGCACACATCGATAAGACACAATCATCGAAGTAACGATAATTCACAACGTTGTATCTCACGTTGGCGTGTTAAAAGAAATTTCAGCACGATCGATTACTCGTTTACACCGTGTAACGTGCGCTGCCGATCCGTGTTGGAGTAAATGTGCGTATTATGCACAAACTTGCACGCAACATCAACCACGGACCGTTTCCTCGCGGTATCGGCAAAAAGCAATGTCAGATTATATTTTCCTCTTTTGTGGATCATTTTAAAAAATACTTTCCCTTTCTTAACAGTTATATAAAATAATTTTTAATTACATATCAATATTTCAAAGGGCGAACTAGCAGCCCAAGAAAAAAATGTCGTATTCACATAAATCGTTGTAAGCATTTTTATCATCTTTTTCCAGAAATAATATATGATAATCAAAACAACAAAATATTAGAAAAGTTATAGCGGTTTTTTTGTTATTCACAGTTGGAGAGATTTATAATATATATTAAATTCGATGTAAACATCGAGTTTCACATCAGAATAATATTTGCTTGATAATTAAAGGGGACAAGTATTCTTCTTCGCCTGTATTTTCTTTAATTTTTTGTAGCACAGAAAATAAAGCCTGAGCGAGCTATGTTTATACTATCTATTTATTTGTTTCGGGCTTTAAGTTTGTCCCCTGAAGTATTATATTATATGATAACAACATGTATAACTCAAAACCACTCTCTATATAATTTAATTATCTTTACATTTATTATACGTATTTATTTGTAATTATAACAGATTTTTAATTTTTTTCTGGAACGGATTCTTCTGGTTGATGAGAGCTAGCTCGATACCGGCAAAAAGTCATTTCTGTACGCACATTCACCGAACAACCGCAACCGGTATTATTGCCCCGCGGAAGTTTATATCGCATGCGATCTTTGTTGCGTTGGCGAACTCGCCGGAGATCGGCATGGTAGAGCGAACGTTCGAGGAATAAAATGCAAACACGCCGCATCTGCATACGTACATACGCATTACACGAATCTTCGTTTAAAAAAGTTATCAATGTGAAATTCTCTCCGGAATTTGCGAATAAATTCGACGCGATTTTAATAATTTTATTTCAGAAATTTTACATAAAATTAAACGCGTCAAATACTAGCTAAAATATTCTCTTTCTTTCTTACATATATTTGGATAAAATATTTATTTAATGAAATTTTTATTTGTTTAACTATGAACTATTTCTGTATAAAGTTATATATTTATTATTATATAATTAATATATTCTCCATTATTTTTTAGAATGATTTTATATATTTCGTGCAATTCGAAATAGTATCACAGCATATACCCAGCAATAAGCCAAATTAGATACGATTTGGCAATTATATTTTTTTTTTATCGCGCTACAGAGATATTACACAGAGAGGATACACGAACGATCTTTCGTAAATTATTCTCGTTTCGACTTGATCAATGAGATATAAATATTTAAACTTGAAAAAGATCATTTTTTAAAATCAGTTATAAAACTCTTTGGTTGAATCATCAACTATTTCATTCTAATATATCGAAATTTCAATATTGTACTTTCGGTGATTAAATTGAAGTGAAAGGCAATTCAGCAGCTGACGAATACAATTTGGGGTAAGAATTAAATTTTTCAGAGAAAACTTTTTTAATTAATATATATTAAAATTATTAATAAAATTAGTTTTATTAAATAAAAAAACGCAAAAATTTGAATACAAAATAACAAATTTCATACTTTTCAGAAAAATTCTTATATTATTCAGCTAATCTTTTTTTTTTAATAACAGTTTTATTTAAACAATACGAGCAATTATTTTTAAGGTGCTGTTTCAACAGGAGAAGTTACATGTTTATAATTTTCACAGAAAGAAGTTTATTTCATAATCTTAGTCACGTTCCTTGATTTTTTTTTCTTGCATTTCCATACCAAGTACATATTTAAGAGGCAGGGAAATTAAATCGATAAGTATAATCGCAATGATAATGTCTGCGAGTGGAGCAGCGCAGTTATCTCGAGCAGCTGTGTTTGCATAAACGATTGGACATCGTGTTGAAAAATCGGGCTCGTTAGAAATCGAATTTATCGGTTGTCACAAAATATCGATCGAAAGTATAGAGAACCTTTTCGGGAACTTATGTCGACAAACGGTTCGATTATTACGAAATGCTTACGCGATTTCAATGAGATAACAGGTACGGTCAACAGATCGTATCGCCCGGAGACTTTGTAACGGTTGAACTGAACGTGAAGCTGTTAATTAAATCGGCAAAGCGACGTCACACTAGGAGTCAAGTCATTTTCCGAGTTTAAAAATAGTCGTATGATCATGTGGGACTACACCCGAAAATAAAATTACAAAAATATTATAGATATAAAATATTAATAATTATATAATCAATATTATTTATTTATAGATTTTTTTGAATATAAAGCACGTTTTATTATGATTTTCCATTCCATACTCAGAATCAAAAATGATTTTACAAAACTATACATAACTTATATAATATTTAAATGTTCATATGAATCATGCAAATATTTTGTACAGAGTTTCAATAATCAATCTATTATTTGTTATTGCATTTGCTTCGTTTGATATTATTATTATGTATGATAATCATATTGCACACATAAAAAATTATATTTTTATTATAATTAAAGATTTTTCATTTGATATATTTGAAATTTTTTGGCTTTAGTCATCTCGAAGAAATAATTCTTCGATGTAATTCTGATATCTTAAATGTTCGAGCATTCCGAAGATTTTTTATCTAATTCGGCCACGATATCAGCGATATCATTAAAGCCTCAATTTAAAGAAATACATTACAATTTCGCGAAAATAATTCATAATTACAAATTATTAGAAAATTATGAAAATTACGTATTATTGATATGTCTCGAAAATTTTATTCTTGTATCATTCGAATCAACACGGGTCGATCGCATATAACAAATTAATGACGGCCGTTCATTGATCTCGCAAACAACTTTGCTGTCTTATCAGCGAATGTGCGTGCCTTCCTCTCGAGTGTGCCGGACATCAGTGAAATACCTTCGAAAGGTGCGATAATAAATGTCTATATAGTTGTAACAACGGTAGCAGACAAGTGCGAGAAATCGAAGGCCGATCCAACCGCGACCGACTTATCACAGGCAGATACGTTTTATTTACGTGTGTTTACTGTAGCCATACGTGACGTCCGATTTCACAGTTCGGATAAGAGGCTCGCGATAGAATCGGGAATCGCTCCGTTCTTGGACCGAGGTCGGAATTTATTCGTGTCCAAAATCTGGCAGCGAGCAAGTGTGATTTTGACGCTACGGATCGTCAGACGGTCGTCCTTGACATTTTGTGTGTTGTGATAATGAAATTAAACCGTTCTTAATCGAGCTCTAAAGTGCCATCGTAACCGAGTAAAGGATCGAGAAAATTCGTCACGAATATTACTTGTGTACACCGCTCCGTTCGCGTCACTGAACCTGACCTGATCTTTTACACGTAATACAATTCTAAAATTATGTTGCATTTATAGTGTGTGTTATTGTATCACTTTCTAGATTATATTCAATTTTTTCTCATTTTCTGCAATGTTTCGTTAGGTTGCATCGTTAAATCGTAATAAAACGCGCGCTATAGTACAGCTGTGTAATATAAATCTATCCCGCATGATTACGCTTTCACATTTTCACCAATTTCTGTCGCCAAGCACGTTCTAATATTACAACGATAAATGCGTCCGTGTTAAATGCGAAATGATAACGGGCTGCCTTTTTGTGGCGCGTATAACTTACTAAATAAAAAAAAAAAAAAAAGTGCCACGAGCGACTTTGTGATAAAGCAACAAGTGACATCGGTTTCTTTTTGAAAGCAGAGATTTATTTTAAGAACAGAAAGTATTGCCACTCTTGTGGCAGGAGACAGAGCGACATAAAGATTGTGTGTATGTGTGTGTATGAGATCGAGAGAGCGGTTTGAAAATAAAATCGATTCCAGATACGGACGATATACGGGACGATATAGCAAGATCATAACTTTCTCCGAACAGAGATTCTTACGAAACTTTATACCGGTCTGCATACATACTTGCCGACTCGACTCCGATGAAAAGTACTTTAATAAGCAATTCCGCAACGTAACGGAAAGAGTATACGGGTGATATCTTTTTGTGCCGCAGAGAATTAAGAATCGATATATCGCGATAATTTCCGAATGAGAACACATAAATTATGCTCGCTATTTAAAATTGCTTCTGGCAACACGTGATTACGAATTGTTCATTTAAGTGATAATGTTGAAAGATAAAAGGAAAAGAAGGTGTGCGGATACAAACAATCTTTAATATTAAAATCAGATATTCATGTAAAATGCGGAAAAAACATGCGTAAGTCTTACTCATATCGCTCCGTGAATCGCATTAATTAACCACCGACTAGAACACAAAAATTCTCGTTAAATTAAAATTCGCAAGACTTCAAAGATGTGTCAGTGCGGCTAAGTAATTACTTAGCCGTATTGACACATCATTGAAGTTTCACGTAATTATATATGACGTGGCAAAGCACATAATGTGACTTAGCACATAGTGCAGGGTGCAGGACCAAATATAGATATGCATCTTTTTATCTCGATGTTAGGTAAATAAAATTTGTTCGATCGAATAGTTTCAAAATTACTTAAAATCGAACCGAAGATAATTATAATAGTTGTATTAATCGTTATATTAATGCATATTATAAGGTATCTTTATCAAATATTGAATCGAGCTTTAACGAGCCATACTTTTATCGCATATAATTTTTTTTTTCATATATAATTATTAAGAGAATTTGCGCTTGAAAAAAAACCGATTCTCTCAACACGAAGGCCTTTTATAAGAGTTTTAAGACGTATGTTTAGTCATCGTCACATTATGTATCCGCGGGTCCAGGTTACGGGACTTTCACTCCGAAATGTCAACGGCTGTTTCACTTTTCAGCTCCCCACCATATACGCATATCGATCAATCCGTTTACGCGCAACAAAGGGACGATTGTTGTAAAGCGATTTACGATTTCTCTCTGTATCTGTTTCAGATAATAGACGCGATGGCCGTGTGTGTATTATATGTCGATGTGCGATCGGATCTTGCAACCTGAAAAGCGAAGACCTAACTTCCAACTGGGAATAGAGAAACTCACGGATTCGGATTATTCACAATTTATATTTGTATTCCTTTTCTATGCTTAAAAATTATAAAAAAATAATTTGCAAAGTACTCGTTACAACAAAGTAAAAATTATTTTACTATAATATTTATATCGCGCAAAAATATTTATATCGCGCAAAA